AAATAAATATTATTCTTATAGGTTCTATAGGAACTAATAAAACAGCGGAAAGAGCTTTGTTAAGAATTGAACAAAAACTTCAAGGTACTGAAGAAGGTTTACCATCAAGTATTTTTGGTCAAGTGGAAAGACTTATACAGCAAGCACGTGATCCTGTTAATCTTTCTCGCTTATATTACGGATGGCAACCGTATCTGTAATACTTACATTTTTTACATTTATCTTTTCTATAATTTTATATACAACAATTGTAGAAGTTTTAAGAACTAAATACTTTATTTGATATTTTATATGATTTAAGAGTATTCATAAAAAAACCATTATAACATGAAAGCGTATATCATTTTAGGAATAGGTAAATGTAATAAGGTAAATATAACATATAAACTGAAACAGAAAGTAAAAGTGAAATATGTTTTTTTATGTGAGTTTATTTTTCTTGTAATATACATAATATGTACAAACGCTTAATGTTAAATTTCAACTGAAGAAATATGTAGAAGACAATACATTATTTATATCAAAAGATCCTTTTGCCGGCACGTTTGTTAAGGTACGACGTATTTGTTTTAAGTCTAATTTCTGTTTTAGTTCTATATCCCTAAAATAATAATATATTTAGATTACTGTATAAATATTATTTATATTAGTCTCCTTAAGAGTTTTATAAATTTTTTAATAAATAAAAATATGTATTTTTAACTAAGTATTTAACTTTTTGTGACTAAGTATTTAAATTATTATCATATAGGAAATATGACTTCCATTAATTTTATTAAAAAAATTAAAACAATAAATGTTACTTACGTTGATATATAACGGTTTACAAAAAATGTCGCTAAATTCTCAAGAATAGGTTCAGTATGAAGAGCAACAAACTGTTCTCTACATATCTGTAATAAGAATTTACTTTATATTATAAAATATTAAGAAAGTATGTGCGTAATATTTCTCCGTTTTAATTACGTTTCCATTACTTACTTTATTCATAATATCTACAGTAGAAGCATGTGTCCAAAAGCAATCATGTACAGAGACAAAAGTAATGCCTGCTTCTTTACTATGTAAACTAGTAAGCATCATGTGGGTAGAATCTAAGGAGTGTATAAAATTTGGCGCAAATGCATTCTTTTGCTTTAATGTATCAGGTACTCTAAAAATATAAAATACATTAACAAAATATAATACAAAATAATATTTAATGTAACATTATGTATTTTTCTTACTCATTTTTATTTTTGTTTTTTAACTTTTTTAACTGTTTGACATACGGTTGTATAATCGGCAAACCTAGAGGAGTAACCCATTCTACATTTTCACCGCAAAGAACAGAAATAGCTCGAGCACATAAGGTAAACCAATCCTGAATTTCTTTTGCACTTTTGAACATTGTTCTTAACGAGGAAAACGTTTTTTCAGTTAAATATACACTAGCAGTCCAAAGGTGTTCTTCGGGAAACTTTTCCATAACTTTGTAAAATATAAATAATGAGGATAATAAAAATTACTTATTTGTAAGGATAAAATTAAATGTTCACCTTTCAATTGCTTTAATATTTGACATTTTGCACCATACTTTGTTACACCGTATACTGTTGTCATTACAGTTTGCTTTATAACTTTCCTTTGTATAAATCCGTCTAATGCTTTGGCCATTATTACTTTATTTGCGGCATCAATTTTTCGAGTTTTTTCAACCTACAGGAAAATAAATGTAATTATTATGAAAACTAGTAATTATTACAACTTATACAAATATTTATAATAAATAAAACTTACTAAAGCAGCAACAGTACTATATATGTCTTTTGGAACGTCAAATGGGCACAAATTGACACTCTCTGCACCAATTTGATCTCTACCAAGTGCTGCATAATGTTGAAGTCCATTACAACTTCCATCTTGATGTATTGGAAACCTACTTTCATATTCTTCTACGTTTGGTGCTTTCAGTGCATTCGCTATTTCCATACATCCTGCTAGCGTTTGCCATGGTTCCTCTGATTCTTTCCACCACATTTTACCCTTTACGATACAAACATTGTTTTCATTTTCTATTATCCTTCCTTATATTAATTTCATTATTTCATAAAATTATATAAACTGACGAATACGTACATAGTAAAAAGTTTTACAGCTTACTCTTATTATTTTATTATATATTTTACAATAAAAGGAAAACTTACTGTTAAGGGTTTAAAAGCACTGTCTAAAATATTTTCTAGATTTTCATTTGCATATTCAAGCCGTTCTTTTACAGAGGATGATTTTTTCTTACTAGTTAAATTAATAACATGTAATTTGAGCCAATCCAATCCTTTTGGACCCAATGGTTTACTCTCCGCAAATAACAGTAAAGAACGACTCAGGTCAGATGCTAGATGATTCAAGTGAGGAGGAATTGGATAAACTCGACCTCTAAAATCCAGATTATGTGGTAGCCAAAATATTTTATTTCTAAACTAAAAATAATAAAATCCTTAATTAAATTTAAAGTCATCATAATATAGCACAATTTACACTGTGGGTAATGCCTAGTGACTATAAAACTACTCTTTTTTTATTCGAAATGTGTATCTTGTTTAAAATATGTACAGAGTGTTTGGAAATTGTTGAAATTGTTTCCAAGATAACCTTGAAATATCCTGCAAAGGTCATGTCACGATTTTTAAATAAACCCGTATAGTATCTATTCCATATTATTGAAGCCGACATTCAGACATTTCCAATTTATAGAAATGAAATTTTTTGCCTAAGCCGTTATTAAGATATCAGCATCTAAAGTTGCCGGTCCAGCATCCAGTGATGTTCACTAGGATTTTTTACTCAGTTTAATGAGTTATACACGCTCTTTCATTTATGTGCAATTTCTAAACATCCTGTATATTAATTACATATGTGTTACATTAAATATAATTATTTCAAACGATTGAGAAAAACATACGTGATTGGCTAAAGACAGTTTATAAAGTGCATCACACCACAAAGAATAATCATCACGCTTTCTTTGCTCATACTTTGCCATCGCTATTGCCGCTTGACGTTTTTCTTCGACAGTAGCACTTTGTTGCACGCGAGGTGGGGCAGTTAACTTAGAAATTGATTGAGGAATATTTAATTCTGGACAACCACCTTTTTGAAATATCTACGAAAAAACATATATTATTTATAAAATAGTACACATCACGGATTTCGTTAGTAAGAGTTAAAAAATATTGAAATTGCAAGTACTTCGGTCACAATATCAAGGATGGGACAATTAATTGTCCATGGAGTAGAACCTAGTTGATTTAATGAATCAAATACAGGATACAACTGTTGCGATGGTGTATCGTGAAACTTTTTCCATAAATTCCCCTGGAAGAAAAAGAAACAATATTTCAATGTATATTTTACAATTATTTCCAAGAGAACTTAGAAATATAAAAGTTATTTAAACACAATTAAAGTTACATTATAGTTATAAATAGATAAACTTTCAACAGTTCATAAGGTGATGTAAGTTCTAATAAATTTAAGATATTGAAAGTTTAATTTCTCTATTTTTAACAACGTTTTGAATATCTATAAGTATGACATATTTCTTAAAATAAACCTCCCTTATTGATTCAAAATATTTTGAATGTGAAAAATGAACACTAATTTTCAGCCAATATTAAAAAGAAAGTGTGAGCCTTCAATTAGTTTAATTTTTAATTTTTATTAGAATAGACATTTGATATATTAATGGTACTCGAAGTAGATTATAAATAAATTTAAAAGTAAAGATAATAACTTACCATACTACCTGAAACTCTTATAAAATCTGTGCTTTTTAAAAAATAACCCCCTGAAACTATTGATGTCCATGGCCGTGGTGGAGCATTGGATGGAACTAAATTTGTATTAAATGATAATACTTCTGATTGTGCTTCTTTGTACATTTTTGATATAATAGGATGAGGCTTAATCTGTAACAGGTATGCTAAATTATGATATACGACATAATATTTTATAAAATATTTATATATTAAATGTCGGAATATACATACCTGTTCAGCTAAATAATTGTCCTTAGATCTAAACAATGTATAAAATGCGGGAATAGAACTTTTAATATCTTGCCCTTTTAAAAGGTCGGGTTTCAATATTAAATCATTTAATATGATTTTGTACAAAAATTTTCCTATATTTGTAATCACCTCCTTAGGCCAATTGAAACATGTAGCGTTTAAAGACGCACCAGAGCTTTTTTCTTGTTGTTCAAAATATTCCCAGACTGTACGATTGTTCATATTATTAAATTGGTTTATACTTTTAGGGTGTAAGTACCATTCTAGATATTTTTGATAAATTTTATGTATTTTATCGAGTACCCCAGTTTTTTCTTTGTACTGGATCTACAAATTATGATAATAAATTTCCTTGGTCTATAAATTAAAAAATTTTAACTATTACTTACCTCGTATATGTCATAAATATGCCTTCCCAAAGTAATATGTAACGAATTAAGGGTCATACTAAATGTGGCTGAACCACTCGCAACTTTCCTAGCTTCTTGAATTATAGCATTTATGTAGTGTTTCTTATTTAATACTTCCAAAAATGGATATAATACCATTAAAGCATTATAAGAGTGGTTCTCTGTTTCTTTTAGACATTTTAAGTTCCTTTCA